GTGCAGTGGGTGAGGTGCTCAGCTGCTAACCGAAAGGTGGGTTGTTCAAACCCACCCACTGCTCCTCTTGAGGAAGATGAGGCATGCCGCTCCCGCTCCCGGAAGAGTCACAGCCCCAGAACCCCACGGAGCAGCTCTGCCCGACCTCCAGGCCCCGTGAGAGTCGGACCGGCCTCCAAGGCAGCGGGCTGGGTTCCATGATGTCACTTCCTGTAGCCTGCATTTCCGTGAGGGGAAAGGCCTATCCCTGGGCGGGGCAGATGGGTACGTGTTTGGCTGTATGCTTTTGAGTGGGTGAACCTAGAGGTGCGTGAGGAGAAAGGCCTGGCGACCTGGAGATGGACATGATCCCACGCTGACACACAGGGGTCGCCAGGGACTTCCCTCGGACTGTTTGGTGGGAGAGAGATGAAGCTTTCGACTCCTGTAAAGACCTCCAGTCTCAGAACCCCACAGGGGCAGGTCTACTTGGGCCCAGGGGGCCACTAAGCATCAGCATCAGCTCCATGGCGATGAGGGGAGACGGCGGGGTGGAGACGTGACTGGTACCATTAGCCCCATTTTCCAGAGGGGAAACACAAACCCAGCGGTGACATCCCTTGCCCAGAGTTGGGGGGGCTGGGGGCAGAGCTGGGATTTAAATCCAGCAGCAACCGCCCCCTACTACCACCACCACCACCACTGGAGTCCTTGCTTCAAGCCGCCTACGATGCCTGCTGACTGGCTAAGCGGTCTGTCAGTCAAAGACAGAACCCCTGCAGTTGCTGGGGGCCGGCGGAGTTGGTTCCGGCCCATAGCGACCACAAGCCCACAAGCCCAACCGCATGAAACACAGCCTGGTCCTGCGCCATCCTCACAACGGCTCCTATGCCCAGCCACTGAAGCAGCCACTGGGTCCACCCACAGCCGAGGGCCTTCCTCTTTCTTGCCGCCAAACACTTCTCCAGGGACTAGTCTCAAGTCCAAAGAATGTGAGACCGAGTCTCGCCGTGCCTGCCTCTCAGGAGCACCCTGGCCACGCTTCTTCCAAGACAGGCAGCTTAGTCCTTCAGCAGCCCGCGGTGCTCTCAGCATTCTTCCCCAGCGCACCGATTCTTCTCCCTGTCTTCCTTCTTCAGTGTCCAACTGCTCCACGCAGATGAGGCAACTGGAAATACCAAGGCTCGGGTCAGGCGCATCTTAGTCCTCAAAGTGACGTCCTTGCTGTTCAATACGCGAAAGAGGTCTTGTGCAGCAGACTGACCTACTGCAGCGCGTCTTCTGATCTCTGGACGCCTCTTCATGAGCACAGGACCCAACGAGGCAAAAACCCTTGACGGTTTCAAGCTTCGCTCCATGGGCCCAGTCGTGAGGGTTTGGGGCTTCTCTCCACTGAGTCACAGTCCACCGGAACAGCAGGCCAAGCTTTCTTACAAGGGGCTGGAACAATGCAAGACCTGTGGAGCCTCAGGGCCTTTGCACGTGCTATTTCCATGGCTTGGGCTCTCCTCCCAGATATTTCCTGCTGCACGATTCCCCTCTCCACCCAGTCTCCCACAGATACTCACCACCCAGGGGGCTGGGCTCGGCGCCAGGCAAGCGGAAGGCGTAGTGGATGTAGGCTGCCAGTAGTGGGCAGTGGCCGCGGGCATCCTGGGCCGTCTCCAGGCTCCGGTGGACAAGGCTGACGACGTGTGCCATGGCTTCAAAGGCGCCGCGGCCCAGGTTCACTGCTGGGCAGAGCGGAGGTTGAGTTCTGGGGACAGAGGTCACCTGCCGCCCCAACCCATCTCCCAGAGGAAGAGACACTGGGCCTACTCTGGGGAAACTGAGGCCAGGTGGATACTGGGAACTCGCTCAAGATCGGGGGCCAGAGGGGCCACGTTCCAGATAGGGAAACCTCGGGAGGCCACCCCAGCTGGGCGGCTCACCTATCTGGCCACCGATGACGGGTGGCCGCACGACCAGATGCACAAGCCTGTCCAGCACGTGGTGGGAGAAGGCGACGAGGGGCTCCGGGCTGGCGAACCGCAGTGTGGCCAGGCTGGCCCGCAGCTCCTGCTCCACGGTGCCCTCGCTCAGGACCACGTCCTTGAGCCGGAACGGGAAGGCCCCCTCCTCCAGCACGTGCACCAGAGTGAAGAACTTGTCCAGGTGGGGGTCCTGAGGGAGGGCTGGGGTGAGCGGGGCCAGAGACCCCACCAGAGACACCCCACCCCCCGCCAATGAGCAGGCCTGATCAGGGGCCAGTGGCGGGAAAGGTGGGAAGAGGCGGGACAAAGGGGCCAGGCCACATGGGAAAGCCCAAGGGCCCAGTTGAGGTGGTGGCTGGCACGGCTGCCCGCCCCCCCAAGTCAGTAGCTCCCGAGGGTCCAGGCTAGGCTGACCAGTCATGTCCTCGGCCAGCAGCCAGGCTCCCCTGCCAACGGGAACTGTTGCCCAATCTCAGGGCAGCAGAGGAGGGGAGCAGGGCAGGGCTCCTAGGTCCCCACCCCAGCCTGTACCTGGGGGTGCACGGAAGACACTGCCATGAGCTCCACGCTGAACACACCCTTGTGGCCGTCTACCCAGCGCATGCCCGGCAGTGCCACCTATGGGAAGGGAGGCACCAAGTGGGCACCAGCCTGCCCCTCCCACACTGGTCACACCACAGGGCCCAGCCATTGCGACATTGGCAGCCAGGGGGTGGCCAGCCTGGGGGTGTCGTCCAGAGGGGCGGATGGGTACTCATGGGGTTCCTGGATGGGTTGGGAGGCCGGAGGCAAGGGTGGGTGGGGAAGGCCAGTGAGCACCTTCACGGAGGCAGAACGTGCAGAGGGGCTAACAAGGCCGGGCTAGCTGGGGGACAGGAAGAAAAGGGGGTGACGAGGTAGACAGGACCCCAGAAAACCTGAGAGGCACCAGGCTTCAAGCGGCATGAACCCTGCTCCCCAGCAGGCTGCGCCGATGGAGGGACCTCAGGCAGGAGGGAGGAGTGGGGGCTGGGAAGGCAGGGGCCCTGTGAATGGGTGGACGGGGAACTGGGGTGCTTGGTGGGGTACACGGAGAGTTGAGAGCAGGACCTGGGCACCTACGTCGGGTGTGAGCACCGAATAGCTGGCTGGGGGCCGGTCCACAGACACAGGCAGACAGAAGGGGCCGGTCCTCAAGCGGCCATGCTGCAGTAGCGGGATCCACTGGGAGGAAGGAGGTGGGGGGCTCAGTGAGCAGTCAATTCAGGCTGGGCAGGGCTGAGAGGGCTGGGTGGGGTCAGCTGGGAGGGGGGCCTGGGCAGGCACGCACCGTGAAGCCCACGGGCGTCTCCAGGGCGGTGCCCGGCCGTGGCTGGCAGCTGATGTGGTAGAAGGTGAACAGCAGGTGGTGATTATCGGTCACGCAGGCCGGAAGCCGCAGCTTGAACTCCTCGTAAAACTCTGGGGACCTGGCCGGGCAGGGTAGGGTGGGGTGGATGGGTTCTGCTGGAGCCTGGGGCCCCAAGCCCACTCCCAAACCGCCCACACAGGCGTTCGGCACTGCTCACTCCCGACCTCAGGTCTCCCCGTTTGTTCCCCCGGGTCAGGTCTCCCCACTTGTGCCCCCAGGTCCCCGCGCCCTGCCTGCCATCAGCCCGGGGCCCACGCACTTGTTGTGGTAGACCACTGGTGTGAAGGCCTCCCTGACAAACTCACTGCAGTTGGACTTGCCGAAGATCACCTGGGGGGACGGAGGGAGGGGAGCAGTGTGAGGAGCCCGCTGGGGCTTGTGCACCCCTGACCGCCCCATCCCGGGCACAGCACTGACCGGCAGGGCCTGGCTGGGGTCCTCGCCGGTCATGTACTGCACACGCACCGTGAGGTTGCGCACGGAGCCCTGGCGGCTGCTGAAGTTGAGGGTGTGTGGGTACACGTAGAGCAGATTCCTGGGGGGAGGGGGGTGGCAGGGGCAGGGTCAGAGGGCACACAAAGAGTCGGGGGGATGGGGAGTATGGTCACAAACGCCCTCAGTTAAAACATGTCTAAATGGTTCAAAGGAGATCTAATTTTGCTCTGTAAACTTTCACCCAGGCCACAAAGGACAACACACACACACCCACACACACAATGGAAAGTGGAGGGCCAGGCGGCTGGGGCATGGGGGGCCAGGACAAGTGATTGGCCAAGGCTGGGGCAGATAAGCCCCCAGGGAGGACAGACGGATGGGGACACGGGGGTGGGGTGGGCTCTGATGGGGGTCGGAGGGCAGGGACAGATGGCGTCCAGGGACATGGAATGTGATGTCAGCACTGACCAGGGCCAGGTTCCAAGCACCAGGCCCTGGAGGGAGAGGTCTCAGGGGCTGTGTCTTGCCTGTCCTGGTGAAGGGTGGGGGAGCAGCTGGAGGCAGAACCCTGCCCTCCCCCTCAGGTTAATGCTACAGCAGGCTCAAACACCAGCCCCGGGGCCCCGGCCCCCACCCCCACCATGGGGATGGGGGTAAAAGACAAGACAGTCCTGCCCAACACTTGGGCGGCGGTGGCAACTGCCGGTCATGAAATGAGCCCCGACAGAGCCCCCCTACTTTACAGATGGGGAAAGAGGGCCTGGCCCCTGAGTCCTGGAGATGGGGGGGCGGGACGACAGGGGGCGGGGCAGGGGAATTCAGGGGACCCCCATCGAGGGAGTCTCAGCCACCTGTATCCGCTTCCCTCAGCTGATGAGCCTAAGAGGCCTGGGCACGGACTCTGAGGGGGTTAGAATGGCTCAGGGTCAACGGCAGGTGCTCAATCCCAATGTTGTCACGGTGGGGAAGCTGTCCCCCTCCCCCCCCACACAAGTGTGGGTTCGAGGCTGGCCGCTCCTCTGCTTTGTGTGAGCCCCTCTGCTTTGTGTGAGCCCCGGGCGGCGTGATCCCTGCGTGGGTTGGGCGGAAACTCGCCTGACGCAACGCTGGTGTAGCTGCCAGGCCCTTGCACAACCGGGCGCCGGGCCTGGTGGGTTAACCATTGACCGGGGTTCACGGGCATAAAAGGCGGCGGCGGCGGTACTGCACCCAGACCCTCAGCCATGGCCACCCTCGCTCTGTGCCTACTGTGGACCCTGGCGACGGTGGCCCGGCCTCTCCTGGCAGCGCCCACGGGCAGCCCGGAGCCAGCACAACAAGAGGAGCTCACCTTGCTCTTTCATGGTGCCCTGCAGCTGGGCCAGGCCCTCAACGGCGTGTACAGGGCCACGGAGGCACGGCTGGAGGAGGCCAGACACAGCCTGGGCCTCTACAGCCAGGCGCTGGGGCTCCTAGGCCAGGAGCTCCACCAGGACCAGGCTACGGCCCAGGAGCTCCATACTGGCCTCTTGAAGATTCAGGTGGGCACAGTAGCCAGGGCACTGTGTGGTGGGTAGGAGCGTGGTGGAGCTTACTGTCTTGGGTGACCCCCCACCCCCATGCTGGTGTGCCCAGGGCTGAGGGGGCTCCTGGGCCGTGGGACAGTCAGTGGTAAAGGCGGCAACGTTCTGGGCAAACAGGGAGAGCGAGGCCAGCCGTGCGCCTGACGTGCCCATCTGTTGAGCAGGAGGAGGAGAATGCCTTGCACCTGCAGGCGGAAGCCATGGAGCAGGTGCTGCGGGAAGTGGCCCAGAAGCAGCAGGAGCTGCGGGGTCGCGTGCAAGGGCTGGAACTCCGGCTGCGTGGTGCCCGGCTGGGCCGTGCCTGGCATGAATTTGAAGCCCTGAAGGTAAGGAGCTCCCAGACCCGGGGCTGTCGAGACCTAGACTCCTGGCCAGAACTTGCTTGTAAGCCCAGAGCCCCAGAAACCCGCCCCACCCCCTTTAAGTCAGCCTCTCAGGCTCCACCCTCCGTGCCTCAGTTTCCCCATTGGCAAATAAGGTCAGAAACGATGTCCCGGCGCACACAGCCCAGGAGGCCCGAGGGAAATGCTCAGTAGGGGTAGGGTACACAGCAGGTGCTCACTGCATGCCAAGCACTGGAGCAACTGCACACCCACTGGGCACCCAGCCCTGCATCACATCATCCTCTTGGACCCCAATGAGGAGAGAGGCCTATTTGGCTCCCGTTTCGTAGATGGGGCCACAGAGGGCCAGTGACTTGCTTGGTGGCAGAGCTGCAGTGGAGGATGGGGCCAAGCGGGGTGGGAGCGGCAGCCTCAGTTGGCCGAGCGCTCTGCTGCTGATGGACGGTCATCGATCAACGGTTCAGAGGACCAGTGCTCTGCCGAGACTGACTTGAGGGCCCCGGGTGGGTTTGGATTTATTTGGTTGGGGGTGGTGGGGATCCAGGACGAGGGAGGCAAGGCAGCCCCGCTGAGGTTCCTGCCTGCCCGGCCCTGCAGGCGCTTGCTGACGAGCAGAGTTACATCGTGTGGACCCTCCATGGCCATGCCCAGCGGCAGAAGAGGGAGATGGAGGCACAGCAGCAAAGGCTGCGGCAGATCCAGGAGCGGTGAGCGTGGGGAGTATATGGGGGGTGGGGGCTGCCTATGTGAGGAGTATTGCTTAAGGGGGGTGCCTGGGCTTTCTGAGGAGCACTGCCTGGGGGGCTTCCCTAAGGGGGGCACCTGGTGGCTGTTTGAGGATCATTGCCTAAGGGGGGCTCTTTGAGAAGTACTGTCTAGGGAGGTAGCCTGGAGGTGTGTTTGGGGGGCTGTCTGAGGAGTCTGCTGGTGGGCTGTCTGGGGCTGTCTGCATGTGGGGGCACAGTGTGGCAGGGGGGGCTGGGTGCACAGGGTGGCTAGACAGGGTGTGGGTGGGGCCCCTGGCCTGACTGACCCACCTCTCCCTCCCCAGACTCCACATGGCAGCGCTCCCAGCCTGAACTCCCCCTGGGGCGGAACTGAGGACCAGACACGTTGCAGCCAGGATGTCTCCTGGGCTCACACAGCTCCTCCCAGGGAGGCGCTGCCCAGCCGCTGGGGTTGGCCGGGGTGCCAGACACAAGGCCCCGGGCCCCCGCTTCCAGCCACGGAGAGAGGAAGTAGACAGGACGAGGCAGAGGATACAGCCCGCGGGGAGGGGTGGAGGAAGGACATGAGCCCCTAGGTGACCGCACAAACCCATTAAAGCAGAGCATTGACATCGATCCGGCTGTGTCTGTCCGTGCCTGTGTCAGTGTCCGCAGAGAGGGGCAGCCCCCCGCTTGGGGCCTGGCCCGGGGCTGTACCTGTAGCTGGTGTGGGGGGCGTAGACCTCGCGGGCGGGGAACTCCAGCATCTCCTTGGTGGGCCGGCCTCGGGGGTCTGGGTAGGGCTTGACGTGCAGCAGCTCAGGGGAGAGGCAGAAGTGGGGGCTCTCGGGGGCCGGGGAGATGTCGATCTTGAGCTGGGCTGAGGTGGGGGAGCAGCCAGTTGGACCCTGGGGTATGGGGCCTCATGATTGGATCCCCTCTTCTCTGAGCTGCAAGGTCAGGGTTCTTGCCTTCCCACAATGCCCTTTGGGGCTCCTTCCCTGATCCTGGCCATTGCTCTTGCTTCTCCCCCTTGTCCCAAGTGTGACCAGCTCTGCCCTGGGGACCTGCCCAGGCTCCCCCCTACCACCACATCCACCATTCACCCCTTCTGTCTCAGTCTCTGCTGAGCCCTGCTTGCTCACCACAAGGTCAGCAGTTCGAAACCACCAGCCACTCTGTGGGAGAAAGATGAGGCTTTCTAGCCCCATCAAGCTTTAGTCTCAGAAACCACAGGGGCTGCTCTTCCTTGCTCGGTGGGCTCGCTGTGAGCCAGAATGGACCTGGCAGTGGTGAGACTGGGTTTTGAATTTCTGTCTTCGTTAAAAGAGACCCGGAGGCTCCGTGGGTTGTGAGCTGGGCTGCTTACCACCGGGTTGGCAGTTCGAAACCACCAGCCGCTCCGCATAAGACAGATGAGGCTGTCTGCTCTCGGAAAGATTCCCAGCCTCAGAAATCCACATGGGGCAGGTCTACTCTGCCTATGGGTCGCTATGAGTGGGAATCCACTCGATGGCTGAGTTTGTGTTCTTTCTGTCTCCCTGAGAGCCCCCCTCCCCACCCCCCTCTGTCATGGTCACTGGTAGGCTCCTAGGGCACAGTAAGTGCTGGGCGTGTGTGTGGAGTGATGCTAGAATTTAGAGCGTGCACGCACCGGTCACGGGCCGCAGGCGCCGCAGCAGGGAGGACGGGCGCCGCATGTCCGCCAGGAACTTAAAAAGGTCCTCATCACTGAGCCGCTCGGCCTCCTGCAATGACCCGGCCCTATGAGCCAGGGCCAGGAGCTGGGGGGTGCCCGCATGCCCCCAGCTCCTTGTCCCTCGGGCCGGCCGCGCCACCTGCTTAAAGAAGTTGGTGACTGTTAGCGTAGCCGGGCGGAAGCTGGAGAAGCTGCAGGCATCGTCGCTGACACTCGTTCGGTCCTGGGGCCCCCGGCGGCGGCGGTCACTCCAGGCGGGTCGGCGCTCTAGGGGGACCAGGTCAGAGAACGGCAGATGAGAGACTGACTGGACCTCCCCCCTAAAAATCAAACTCTCAGTCTAGTCGATTCAGAC